ACTTAATGTATTTTTTCTAGTATCTGTGCAAGGCAGCAATTTTGTCTTCTTTTGACATACCTATTATGTCAATAATAATTCAAATAAGAAGATACTGACAGATACATGATCACAACAGCTCTATTCAGTTTCATACTTTTGAGTTCTAACATCATCATTTTAACTTGGATTCATGGAGGCCTTAAAAAGTACATGCATTGATTGCTAGATAGCACAAATAGTTTATAAGAACACTGCAGGCTCTTAAATTTCAAACCAGCAACCTCTTGGGTGTTTATAGATCAGTTTATAAGCACCACTATAGGAATGGGAAGAATGGACAACTGAGTACAGGTTACCTTTAGTCTTCACTTAGTTTGAGCTAGAGTTACCACCTCACTATCTGCATTCTTCCTGTGGCAGAAGGGTGATGTCTCATCCACAGAACTTTTATTGCACTGACAAAATTTTCAACTGCAATCAGGCCCAAGCTCACAACTGATTGGGAGTTATCACACATCCCTCCTCACACCCTTATTTTAGCAACTGCCTCTTAATTCCTTCAAGGAGGCTGAGCAGTGCATAGCCCTCTCCCTGCCCTCTGCAGTCACTTAGCTCATGGCACTGCTGCTGCCTCCCATCAAGAGGTCAGTCAGACAGAGAGAATGAAGTCTCACATTTTACAAAGCTCTATCCAAACAAATGCATGGAGGATATTTTGCTGGTCATTAAGGATACAATTTTAGACAGCCTTAATACAGCAGAGCTTCCCAAACTGAGTTGGGGAGCTTTCAATATAATCAGCTGATCACTTCATGTTGTTTTATTGTATTGTTACTCCCATTACGTCCGCTCCATGTTTTCATAACTACACAAATTATCATTCCAATCTCAGCATTCCAGTTTTGTAAGTCACCAGCATACACCAATGTACATAGGGTGAACTTCACAATACTGACAACTTTCCTTCCCACTTTAAACTAAGAAAATTTACAAAAGATGAAAATCTTTAGCACGTCTTATTAGAAATAAAAACATATAGAGTAATTTACATATGCATCTAGATAAATACTAAAATAGCCTGTGAAATTGTGTGTATGTTATTCACTAAATGTCACAATGATTCAGCTTTTTCCTCACCTTCTGTGGTCATTTTCCATGCTCTCTCATGCTCCTTGCTGTTTTGAGAATTGTCTTGGAGATGAAGGAGGTAAAATGGATGTGGCCAAGAGAAGGTGGCTGGAGGATGGTGTTATAGAAGGAGAGTTGCATCTGGAGGTAAAGGGGAAGTACAGAGCCAGGCCAGACGGTTTATGGGGGCCAACAACTGTCAGACCCATCCTGGTGCCTCTCAGATATCCGGAATAGTTCAGGACAGGATGGGAAGTGTGGCAGAAGATAACAGCTCCTAGGAGGACTTGAGCAGATCTCTGCCAGGACAGGATACACTAACGAGCACCTGACAAAGTAAGGTGTGCTCTACTCCAAGCCTTCTCAGGAACTGCCCTGCACTTGTCTTTCCTGCCCTATCCCAAAGGCTCCCTTTGGGGAATCCCTGGGTTAATTAAAGAGGTATCATGGAAAACCCTTGAGAAAAAAAAGTAAATCTTAAATCAGGGTCTGGCACTCCAGGCACTCTCCTGGATCATGCACTGTACAGGAACATCAGTGTATTGGCCAATACTCTCAGAAGACTGCTTGAATAAAAGGCTTCGCACATTACCCACAGCTAATGACTCCCCTCACATCACAGACAGAGTTTTCTCTGCTTTCTGCAGATGTTTTCTGTTCCAGGCAAGAGAACTCAGAGGCAAGATCAAACCTGGGCAGGGTATTTGAAGAGCTGTAAATGTGGTTTGGTAACACATCAACCAAGGGTGCTGTGTGGGTTGGGCACATGCAAGACAGGCCCATGGGATCCCAACCACATTTAAGAGCAGGGTCAGATTCAGAAAAGAGGTTTCTCAGGTCTGTGGAAGGGCTGCAGCTTTTTGATTTCCCAGTGGATGGGAAGTCTACATTGCATTCAAGTGAATGGCACTAAATATGGCAAGATCAATCCTTGTTCAAGAAAAAAAACCAACCACCACAAAACAAACAAACAAACAAACACACAAAAACAAAAACAAAAAACCCCAAACAACAAAAAAACAAACAACAAAAAACCAAAAAAAAAAAAAAAACCAACAAAAAAAGAGAAAGACAGTTACAACACTATTTTTTAATCTTATTTCCAGCCAAGGTTTGACTCTGATATCAAGCTTAGAACTCTGGATCAAGGCAAAATAACTTGCACAGCAACATTCGAGGTCAGGTTGAACAGGGCTCTGAGCAACCTGATCTAGTTAAAGATGTCCCTGCTCATTGCAGGGAGAATTGGACTAGATGACCTTTAAAGATCCCTTCCAACCCAAACTATTCTATGATTTAGGTATGAGGTAACCATCAGAACATGAACTGTAAATATGTAAACGTAGCTAGAAATGCACACAAATACTTTTTACTTAAAGCATTCTCCCATGAGGGAAACCTTAGTGACCAGTAATGATTTCATTCAAAATCATTATTACCTTTCATGATTTTCCCTCATCTGTTCAAAACCATGGGTTTAAAATACTGCAGTAATTGAGCTCAAAGGGAAAACTGAAATGATTTTTCATTATATTAGATAAGTGGTTTGATAAAATCTAACAGCAAATGGACTGCACAAGCAATTTTGCAGTGCCATGGAGGCCATCATTCTGGTTAGTTAAGAGAATGGGGAAAGTATATCTTGGAACTTCATCTTATTTGACATACAATAATTTGATATTAAAAGCACTGATCATAAGCTCATTATTTTATGCAATTACTGCCCACTATTCTCAGATAATGAGTCAGTAGTGCCCTGCAATAAATCCCAAGACTCAAGAGCAATCCTATTTAAGATTACTTATTTCAATTATTAAATAAAGGAATCTACTTCAGCCAAAAACCTTTTCTTTTTTAAATGACCCTTAAATTCAATTAAGAGGTCCTGTAAAAAGTCACCTGATTACAATGGACCCATAGTCATGGAAAATTTCAATCTGAAATACAGTTATTTCAGCTTGAAATATAGTTCATATAAAACTTGCTCAAGATTTCCCCTGTGACAATGTATTTTCTACCACACACATTTATCTACAGGCACTTCATCTTGAACTATGTTACATGCTGCCTTTTCATCTCCCACATGCATAGTCCAGTTTACATAATAACCTATGATGAAGTAACTACAAATGTCTGGATGCTGAAACACCCTTTACCTTAACTTGTTAATACATCTAAGAAAACCCATCTTTCTTACACAATTGACATGACAAGACCAAGAACTGTTATTAGTCACATGATTTGACTGACATTTCCCATAGAGTAGTTAAAAAAACCCAGAAGATTCACATCTTAAGTTTCTTCCTATGAAGGCACAGAGTTGCATTGCTGCTGGACCTCTGTCTTGTCAAACAGGAAGTTAGAAACCAGTGATGTTATACTAAAAATAATAATAAAAAAGCTTCTAGTGTACGATCAGCATTAGATAAAGACTCTAAAGCCATATTACATTTAAATTGTTTAGTCACAGCACCCTCAAATCTCACCAAAAGTGATGAATCCCCAGCTATACAGGTAACACTGCAATATACCCACAGTGCACTTCATCAGTATCATTGCCATGTCTCCAGTGTGACCTGAGTAGCTATTAGTCTAGGTGAACTAAGTAACTGTGGCACAAGAAGGGCCAGGACACGTTGAATTCATTAAGTACACCCAGTTTCACAGGGTGTTCATGGGAGGTTAACTCCAGAAAACTCATACAGCCTGAATTCAAAAGCATCATTTTCTAGCAATATTTAGTTCCAACTCTGCCATCTCACATGTGTTAACTCTGGAAGGGAATAGATGATTTGAGTCTTTTTTGCAAAGTGACATAGAGAGATAACTTTGGATACTGTTCATCTCACTGTTTCAGATGATTAGACCATATTGATATAGGAGGAATAGGATAATGTTCAAAAAACACTGGCTGGTGTTCCATCTGAAGGCTGTGAATCATAATAAAAATCAAAGTCATATTGGTATCAAGTAACTATACTGATTATCTTCAACTGTCACACCAGGGGATGCTTTTCAGAGGAAAAAGCCAAGTGTGCAACATGAGTTCAGAAGAACTCATCTCATTTTTCAAAAGGTCAGGGGAACTCTGAAATCTAGAAGCAGCTCACCACTTCCTTGACAAACACTACAACTAAAAACAACTGCAGATACTATTTTCTTTCACATGCTTTCCATTTTATACATATGACATATCAGGTGTGGGAATAATTTCAAATGGGTAACTAGCATCTAGTGTGGACTACATCCCAGATGCTACTTTTAGTATCAAAAAGTCTTAACATGTATTCTGTGGTGACAGTACTACAGTTCAAGTCATCTAAAGCAAGCAAAATTATCTTCTCATCTCTGTCCATATTCTTCTGTGCTGTCTCTATTTGCTTTCAGCAGAAAGTCTTGAAGCAAATGATTGTTCCTCAAGTGAACTCTTGAAATACTCAAGTAGTTTCATAACCACTTTTGCAGTTATTTCTTTAGGGTGAATTGCCATGATCAAAGTTTTACACCTATGGAGAAATGCTCTTAAGTGAAGGTTGAATTTCTATTTTGCTCTGAACACCGGCACTGATCCCACTGAGCCAGTAGATCGTGCCAAAGTCAGACTGGACTTACTATGAACAGCTTAAGCTGTTCAAACACCAGTAATGAAAAACCCCCAATGCCGTGAATGGAAAAGAGACCTATTACTTGAAGGATAATCTGTGCATACTTCAGGAGGCATTTAGGGCAGTTTCAAACCTTTCAAGTTGTGTGACAAACTGATTTTCTAAAGCAGATTCTTTCTGTCAGTTCACAAGTGACTAAAATGCACAACTGATTTTTGGGGATAATTCAGACCTTATCAAGGATGCTGCATCTCTTCAGTGTATTTTGCTCTAGGAAACACTTACAGTTCCAAGGTCAATAATGAAACAATCTCCTTTGTTGAAGCTGGTCCAAGCCAGGGGGACTTCTGTGGCTCTTACAACTCTCCGGCCCTTGATGTGGAGCAGCCTCTGGGCACTCAGATCATTAGTAACAACATGATTAAATCCAGAGGCAACACCACCTGCCTGAATAAAAACAAAACAAAGTAGACAGCTTTATTTCAGCTTGATTTCTGCAAACTTACCCTTTTTTTTTGCTACAGATGAGGAGCTAGCAGAGGAAAAAAGTTTATGCAGCAAGAAGGAAGCCAAAATAATCTACTGTTGATAATAATCTAGTATTGACCACAGACCCGATAGAAACTGCTGCTGAAGCTGAACTCTCAGGTGGGAACCTTTAGCCAAGGGAGCAGATGTCACCCTGCTTCAAAGGGTTTTCAGATAAACAGGGAAAGGGAAAACAGAATTTACAGTAGTCTCTTGCATCCTGCAGAGGATGAGGTAACACTGAACTGCACTGTTAGGACAAAAAGCAGTAGCTTATCGAATAAGGACTGAGTAAAAGCAGAGAAATATGCAGCTTCTTTTTAAGTTTTCCATACTCGAGTCTCAGAGGTCCAGGTGGTTTTAGTCCATGGTTATGTGTAGAAGGATGGGTAATTGCACAGTGGCTCTGTAATTTTACGAAAGCAATATTTGTAACTTAGGAGACAACCTAGCAAGGAGTACCAAACTGGGAAACCAAGGAGACCAAACTGGTGATTTATAATCAACAAGCATAAATATAAACATAATCCTGTAAACTAGCTTGGCCATCTGCCTCTGTGAGGCAGTATTCTCCACTCCTCCAGGAGACCCAGACCTCCTGCAACAGGAACTGGCTCTTGAAATTACAAATAAAAATAAAATGTAAGAGACTGGTCAAGTCACTCACTCCTCTATGCAAGCAGAGTTAAAAGCTTCAAATTGGTTGTGAAGACTGTGAGAAGTTACAAACCTCCATAATGGGGGAAAAAAGGCTGACTGAGCCATATTTCCTGGAGCTCCTACTATGGGGAGATTCTCAGGAGAAACATTAATTTATTCTTAAAAAAAAACCACAGATGCTGCAAAAAAAAAAAATTCCTTTCAAATATTCAGCTTCTGGAAGTGACACAAGAATATTAACACTACCTTTTCAAAATATAAAATTTTTGTGAGAAGTATTTGGGAGGTTTTTTTTATCTACCTTAAAAAAGAAACTGCTGTAGGACTGCAAAAGCACCATTTTTAGACTCAAGTGAGGTTTTGGGGTTTTTTTTTTTTACACTCTATTCATGTTTCTAACCACTTGAGCACACTGAGTTCTGCATTTGAACAAAATGATTCAGTCTACAACACAGAAGTGATTTCCACAAGATTTAATACCTCCCAGACACAAGAGTCCCTACTCTGAGCTCCTTAGACACACTACCATGAAATCTCAGGACAGCTGTTTTTTTGGAGAAAAAAATAATTGGGAAAGGTTTTCACATATCATAAGAGGCACTGGCAAACTAGCTGCTTCTTTCTATAGAAGCACTGGGACTCCCACAGTTTAAGATGGGTATTTCAGATCTAAGCCCATTGAGCATTAACTAACAATTGTTAAACTCTCCATTTACAGCGGAAAAAAAATTATTTTTTATGTGGGGGACAATTTTATGTACAATTTTAGAATACATTTTGACAGGAGTCTTTACCTTGTATTTAATTCCTCCTTTGAAGTAACCCACAAACTCAGTAGATTCATATCCTTGAATTTCTCTACTCTGCACAGGCTTTCCTCCTAAATAGTCATCCATTTGAACAGCAAAGATAGCTGCAGCTGTGCTTTCATCCTGGGTGCATTCTTTCCCTGAAATAAGAGGAAATATTATGTCTATAAAGCATTACTATAACTTGGAATTCTACTGGAGAAATTGTTTCCGTAACAATCAGGCATTGCCTTCAGCAGGTTGTACAGCCAGTGTTTATGTGGTAACAAAGCACTACATCATAACCTTGTTCACCACCAAACACATGATCTTCCAGATCATTTCTTGACTACTTGTAGAACTGCATTTATACCCGTGGGGAGGGAGGGGGGGGGGAAGTGAAAAATAGCAAAGTTTGTCTTCTCTGAGCCTCATTAAACAAAAGAATATTTCAATGGAGTTTAGCATGGCAACTGTCAGCCATAATGACTTGGAGACCTCGAGCTGAAGTGCAAAGACAAACAAAGGTCATGTCAAAGGACTGTCTGGATGGCAAACTGGATATTTATGCTAAGAACAACTCACTAAGCTATAAAGCCAAAGTAACTCAAAAGCAGTCCTCTTCATGCAATAATATAAGCAAGATAGTTTGCCTGGTAGAGCTGGGAGAAAGAAAAGCGTCTGTGGGGCTCAGATATTTGCTTCATGAGGTCACACTTTGTTTTGTACCTTTCAGAGATTAGCCTCTTCCCAGGACTTTGGCAAAATAGCCTCTACCTAATGTGCTGATGGCTTAATCATGCTGCAAATCAGGCTTTATACTAAACCAAAGCTTTTAACATGTGCTTATACATTTTTGATTAACATTTTCAGTAGTTTTGATTGTGTCAAGGAAAACACAAATAGGTTCAACTCTTAAAATACCAGGCTTCTCAAAAACTTTAGAAAAATAAGGATCAGTGAGGTCTTCCATTTAGATTTATTTTTCTTCCTAAATAAGAGGGAAAAGCTGGTATACAAGTAGCAGTTCTCAAGAGCAGTTTTTCACTTAGATTAACCATTTCTCTGCTTCTAGGTAACTAAATGGAAAACCAGCATAGAGCACAGACAGCCTGGACAGACATACCTCTCACAGGTTGCAGAAGGATGGGAAGTGTGTAGTGAGGTGTTGGTGCCAAGAGATTTGTCAGTAAGGTATTGGGAATGAATAAAGCATGGGAGAGAAGGGATGCGAATGCCTAAGGGCACGACCCTCTACTGGGGAGAATGATTGCCCTATTCATGGTCCAGCAGTGCAAATGCCACAAGTCCCCCACCACCCACCAACAGCCATGCTTCTCCCAGGAGCAATGCCACAACTGCCATCATTACAGCTTCTGTGGAGACACAGGTGATATGGAAGCCTCTAGAAAGCACCAAAGATGAAACAGGGAAGGGATCCAAAGAATAGGGAAGCAAAGACCAGTAGGCCTACCCAAAAAAGGTAAAAAAAAAATAAATTACTGAAAGCAGGATGTAAGACAAACTGGAAAAAAATGCCCATCACTCAATGACAGAAAAACTTGCTATTTGGCAACATGATTTCTCAGACCTGGCTACCACCTTAAAGCTGGTGGCAAAGTTTTGTGGGTTTCGGGGATGTTTTCTTTGTTTGTTTTTTTAACAGGGTTATTAATATCCATTAGGACTAGATCCTTCTGATTTATTGCTTGCAAACACACAACAGGGTTCAGGGTTGAAGAAAAACCATTTTTGAACAGTTTTAGAGATAAGAATTACTATCAGGTTTGGTCTCACTGCTGCTGTGCAATTAAATACTCAGAGAAACTCCATTAAAAAAAAATTAAGTGGGCATCAGTACAAGAGTGAATTATTCAAGTTTGTATGAAAAACAGATTCACCTTACAGTCTGCCTTATTTATGGCTGTTTGTGCATCAGAGTACATAGGAAAAAGAACATATTTTTACCAGACTAAATCCCAGGTCACATGGACAGATCTTATGACTTCATCTCTGGGGCAAGGGTTAAAAAAATAGTTAAAAAACACTATGCATGATTTTATTAAAGATACTAAGTGCGGTATAGCCGCACTCCCACAAGTAGCTTCATATTGGCACAGTACATGCTGCTTCCACTAGTGATAGTTTCAAGTCCAAACAGCTCCCTTAGATTTAGTAGTTTAGCTACTAAGGCATCTCTCAAGTGCCAGTACAGACAACTGAGCCAGGATGTCTGAACCAAGTTAAAATGGATACAGCTACCATGACAGATTGGCCTTGATTGCTCAGCCATGCCAACACTGCTGCAGCACCTGAGTTAGCTTGTTCAGAAATGATCCAACCTCAACAGCATTTCACTGTATGTGAGATATTTGGTAAAACAGTGGCTTTCCCTTAGGAAGCTTCAGGATGACAGAACAACTGTTGGGTTACTTTAACCCTAGGGTGCCAACCACAGCTCAAGACTGTCAGCACATCAAGGTCACAGACCATCCTCCCATGGTCTAGACCTCATTCTAACCCCTTAGCAAGGTATTAGGAGGATATCTGTCACTATATTATAGGAAAATGGGATGCTGTGCTTTTATTCTGAATTTGGGTGTGGGTTTTTTTGCTGAAATCAGAATCCATTCACACCCAAAGCTACCATATGTGGCCCCCACAATAACACACACCACAGATAACAGGCAGGAGTAGGACTGTGTCACCAAATGGAAGAGCCCTTATAAGTATCTAAGCCCAAAATCTGCAGGGTTTCCACCTATCTGATTTCATGAGAGTTCACCTTATCACTCTCTACAACTGCCTGAAAGGAGGCTGTAACCAGGTGAGGCTCAGTCTCTTCTCCCAGGCAACCAGCAGTGTGAAAGAGGGCACAGTCTTAGGCTACACCAGGGGAGGTTTAGGTTGGACATTAGGAAGAAGTTGTTTACAGAGAATGTTACTGGGCCTTGGAATGGGCTCCCCAGGGAAGTGGAAGAGTCACCATCCCCAGAGGTGTTTAAGAAAAGACTGGATGTGGCACTTAGTTGACATATTGGTGTTTGGCCATAGGTTGGACTCAATCTCAGAGGTCTTTTCCAACCTAGTTGATTCTGTGATTCTTTCTTTACATCCCAAAATCTGATAGTGACTGCTGCAGCTGTCCAGAGACAGCTTGTGGGAAGTCTTCATAAAAACCCTACTGCAGTCTTCCTGCCCACAGGTTATGCAGTCTTTGCTCATGAGGGAAAGGTCTGGTGTACATACCAGCAGTGCAAGTCAGTTAAAAATACCAAAATGATTCTGTGGCTGTTGCCCTGCGTGTGACTGGCTCACCCCATACATCTTGTCTGAAGTTCTGACCTCCTGTTACTATTATGAGTGCCGCAGTGTTTGAGATTCTCCACCCTGCTACTGAAATGCGAAGAGATTTCCCAGCAGTGAGCTGCCCTATTGCCACCCTGCCAGCTGCACAACAACAATGGGTACCCCATCACCTGATGCCATTTATAGTATCTGGATATCACATCAGTATGAAATGTGCACCAGCATGTACAGCTAAAGCTCTTTAGCCAACAACAGAGAGGTTTTAATTCCTGTGAATGTCAGTCACTGTTTTTCTTCAGTTCCAAAGAATTGCAAGGAGTCCTTACATCATTCCCTGGGAAATGTCTACTAGATCTGAACTACAACATAAGCAGTTCTAGACTCATTTATGAAGGTCTGAACAGCCAAACTCCACTATTAACTAGAAGCATCCCTGACAGAAGAACTACCAGAAACTCATTTACATTGCCATCTATGATTATACTCTCACCAGAGACAGACACAATCCTGGTTGCCATCTGAAAAACTCACATGCAAAACTAAACACACTTCAAGCATTTATACAGAAACAAACCCAGCTTTATATGCTATTCTTTTTTTTCAATGCATGCAAAAGTACAATGACAATCACTGCAACTCAAACACATTAATGTTAATACACATTAACCTTTTTTTATGTGCATTCACTGAGATGATTGCCTATAAAAGCAAACTTGATGGTGAAACAAGAACAAAGTAATTGGTTTCAGGCAGCTACACAGCAACCACTGTGACTGGATCACTCGGTGGCCAGACAGAGAAGTCATAAGATACCTCCAGGAAATGAGGAAGTCACAGAAAATGCATCCTTATGTCAGATTTCTATTTTGATGTAAAGTGTGCTAATCAAGGTGGAAAGCAAAGGACAGACATTAGCCCAGTTCTGTGCTCCCAGTAGGCTGGCAGACTGATACTAAAGAGGTTTTACAAAAGACCTGGTGACTTTGCCTCAGATCTCTGTACCTACAGAAAGCAGAATTTGTCTAGCTGAAAAAGGCAACACCCAGACACAAACCAGGGCAACAACACCACAGGGAGACAGCCAAGAGAGAATTTTCATCCAAGTGGAAGCAAAGGCAAGAAAACTCTTGACGTGAGTGAAAGCAGGATTTGACTAGTAAATCTCTGTTGGGTGCACCCAGGATTCGACTTTAACCCTTTAGCACCTCCAAACTAACATCACCAAGCAAGCGTTCACTTTTCTGCCGTACCCCACTGTCCCACCACCCTCACCATCAGAAGGGGTGAGACTTGGCATCACCTTGAACCTTGGTGGCAGCCCTACTACTCCTGCCTTCATCCAGAGGCTTCGCATCCGCTGCCCTTCTCAGAAGGGCAGGAAAAATCCAATTCCCAACCCCCCGGAACCCCGCAAGAACCTACGGCGGCAGGAGCGGGCACGACGAGCCTCACCCACAGCCCCGTCCCCGACCGCTCCTACCGAGCCAGTAGTGCAGGCGGTAGGCGACGCCGGAGCCGCGGCGCTCGGTGTGCAGCACCAGGTACGCGTCCCCCACGAAGAAGTCGCCGTGGAGCCCGGGGGGCACCGCAACCAGCTCCAGCTTCTCGACGCGCCACACCTGCAGCCCGCTCTGGCGCCCGGCCTCGGCGAAGACCTGCGGGGGCCGCTCGGGAGCCATGGCAGGGCACGGAGAACCAGCGCAGCAGGATAACCTACAGTGCCTTTACTGCGTGGGGTGCGGCCACTTGTATAGTGCCCAGCCGGGGCGGGGCCGGGCCGGCCCCGGGACGGGCGCGGAGCGTGGAGTGGGTGGTGGGATGTGTCTGTCCCACCCCTCTCCAGCGGCTCCCGGGACCGGCGCAGTTTTGTTTAATTATTAATTTTTTTTACACCCCTGCAAAACTCACCCGGCGTCCTTTTTTTCCTTCAGTGCCCGATGCCGTAGCGGGGGTGTTATAAAAGGAAAAAAAAAAAAAAAATCAGCCTCTCTCACTGCAAGCAGAGAATCTTTCTCTATTCTCAAGTAATAGGAGAAAAACCCATAAAACTCAAGAAGGCAAAGTACAAGCGGGCTAACTCAGCACCTACGGGTGTTACAGTGCCGTGCGGTGTGTTTCTATAATTATCACATCTGCCTTGTTTCTGTAAGCTGCTCATACCGGAATACAAAGAGTTTCTGTAGCTTGTGCTTGCGGTTGGGCTCTTTTTCACTCCGTGCTGGAACGGCAGAGCACAGCTCTCTTTTACCCAGTAATCCCATTTCATTTGTCCGGTATTGCTAGCAGTCTTTTTCTAGGGGGAAAAATATTTTTGAAGATTTCAGATGAAGCCCAGAATTTATATAAATGTCCTTTTTCTTTCCTTTTTTTCCAACGCTATGCAACAAACCAAAAGCTTTAAACCCACTTCCTACTTGTCTTTCTCTTTTATAAATGGTTGGTATATCAACATGGCAATTGCAGTTTTCAACAACTCTTTTCGTCTGATATTGATAGAAGGATCAGTCTGGGTTCAATACAGGTAGATGCAGCTCAAGCTGTAAATATATCAAAAGATACATTTAAGAAAGGATTTTGTTTAGTTTCATCATCTTATCCACCTGGATGAGTGTTGAAGCTCATGTTTTCCCCACTGGGTTGTTTTATCAAGTTAATACCAGAAGAGTGCAGAACTGGGCTGCCTTAGTAACTGGGAGAGGCACTGCTAAATGCAGCAAATGAGCTGGAGAGCATCTTCTCTGGAAAAAAGAGAGGAAAAAAAAAAAAGAAAAAAGAAAAAAAAGAAGTTAAGAAAAGCACACCACAACTAAGAAATTTGCTTTACTATCTTCCCTCCTTCATTTTATACTGCCTTGAGGAGAAAGATGCTATTACACAATGTGTACCTTACTCTTGTCTCCCATTTTTATGAACACCCTCTCCTCAGTTTCCAGACTGAGGTGTACAGGCACCCTAAGCTTTATGCTCACTGTTTAAAAAAAGGAATTGTGAGTGTTCTATTTTGTCTAAGGTTTGGCTGAACGTGTTAAAGCCCACCTTCACAACTTCACAGCCAAGGATTGTATCCCTCATTCTACCAGGGCTGCAGTAAGCCTGCTTCACAAAGCACGATGCCTTCCAAATGAAATACCTTTCTCTAGGTGTTCACCATGTGAAGAAGAAAAAAACTCAGGGAAGAGTAGCCAAAAAATTGCAGCAGTTCCAGTTTCAATATTGTATTCTGTTCACTTTTACTCACTTAATTACACAATCAGGGTTTTGGGGGATTTTTGTTTGTTTGTTTGGGTTTTTTTCTATTTGCATGCCTTTTTGCCTTTTTGTACATTAGTTTGCCTTAGTCAGTGAGGACAGAATTTCCCACATACTCTATAAATGTTTGGATTTACTATTTCTTCTGAAGTTGGCAGGATGCATTCACTTTGGAATTGCGCGGAGTTTTGCCCATACAGGAGCTCAAACCAGCTCAGTGTTATGCAGCCTCATTTCTGCTGCCTGTTCTGCCTGTCTTGCCAAGCTGAAATTGTTTGTGCTCAGATTGCACAGGATAGGTTTTTTAAATTTGTATCTCCTTATTCTAGGTTTAAATTTTCAGTCTGCAGACTAAATACTACTGTAAGCAGAATCCCCATTGCTGGCATGAGACTCATGCTAAAGCTATTTGTTTAGCATTGACCATTCCCAGTAGCACACACCAATGGGCAAAGGTTAAAGACACAAGAAGAGTTTAACTGTTTTGTCTCAGTGTCTGTGGCACCACTCAGACACAAAGGATGTTAGTACTGACAGCAGAGTTTTCTCATGCCTGAGTTTGTCTTACTAGGATTATGTAATCATTTGGCTCCTAGCAAAGAAAACCTTGGATTGAAGTTTGTGTCCTAAGTGCCAGGATACTTGTTTGTACTCTTCAAAATTAATTTTTGACTGTTTGCAAATCTTGCTTTTGCAATCTCACTCCTAATGAAAATTGTGCTCTCTTTTTCCTTTTCTATCTGTTTTTTTGGGTAGCAAAATTAAGCTAGCATTGTTAATATTACACAAGTTTTCATAATTTTTTTAATAAACAAAATCTTTCTAATAAGGTTATTCATAAGTGAAATTTTAAAGAAAAAGATGAGAAGTATATTAAGGATTTGCACATTTCGAAACAATATTTAAAATTACTTTTTGTGTGTTTTTGCATGTCCTTTAATATAGTAATTGCAGTGGAAAGGTCTGAAAAGAGCATTGTTTTCATGACTCAGAAGTCTGGGGTCAAATAGTAATTGCTATTTTCATTAGAAATTGCTCTGTAATGGAATTTCAGACTTCTTTCAGACTACTTAATTTAATAAAGATTATGTCTTGCTCATAATCTATGGCTTTCTCAGAGGGATAGCAAAGGTCTAGCACTGTTTCAGCTGTTCAGTAACAAGGGGAAATAATTTTGCATCACATCCTTTCCATAAGGGAAGGCTGGATATATCAATTGGCTGCTGTCATGGCCCAGAAACACAGTTGTGGAGTAAAAGGTGTAGATTTCTGCCTGCTTCACTGCACTGTGGGAATTATGGCCATCTTTAAATGCCCTGTCTTTTTCCCAAGTCATGATAGATCACCCAGGACTGCCAGAAGGTGTTCCTGCTCCTCATCTAATCCTTAAAACAGCAGATTCAAATGTATTGAGTTCAAAGCTTTGGCATGACTCAAGGAGTTCAAGGATTTATGAAAAACTTTGCCATTTAATGTGGCCCGTTTATTTCCAAAGTATTTTGTTATATTGAGTAAGGGATCTTTTGTCCTCAAAGTACTGTCGTCATATACTGTATATATGCAGGGAGTGTGTCTATAGACATTAAAAGAAATAGAATGCAATGTCCTGAGTTCTGATTTTTGTCCCAGTTAAGAATAAGTTTTGCAAAAACCCATGGTGGTTTTTTCCAGGTGATATATACAAGGAACCCAAAAGGGTTCCCAGAATTTAAGCCTCAGAATCTTTCCCAACAGGAATAAGTTTCAGCATAGATTGTTAAAGTCTAAGGTTTAAGTTCTACAAGGCTTGAATTGCAGTATCAGGAACTAACAATGAAAGGAATGAAAAGGAATGTAAGGAGAGCATATTTTCAAGTGTCACAAATGTTTCCTTCTTCAAAGCTTATTTCTTCTTCACCACACATGCCAAATATCCTCCTGAACTCTATGACCCTACCTCAACAATGGGATTACAGATGTTTAGTTTTGCCTCCAGTTTCACATGACAAAGTTTGCTGTATGCAGAGCATGTGTGTCAAAAGCACACTCTTGTCCAAACAGTCACAGAAGCCAACCCATGTTCTCATCTGTTCTGTTGCTGAATTAAAAATCAACAGTTACTTCAGATTTAAGTCAGTTCAGAGATCTGAGCTAAATTCTTATTTACAATATACATCTAAAAAAATTAATTATCACTGATAGCGTATGAGTTGAAGGAGAATTAGACCATACAGCTCTGAAAGCCATGCTATCAAAACCAAGCTATAGAGTTATGCTACCACTTGCTAATTCTCTCCATTCTCTCATCATGACCCTGAGATTAGCTCAGTTGGTTAGAGCATGAGGCTAAGGTCATGGGGCTGTTCCCTGTACAGGCCATTTACTTAAGAGTTGGCCTTGATGATCCTTGTGGGTCCCTTCCAAGTCAGAATATTCTATGATAATCGTACTTCAAATCATCCTGCTTAGCAGCCCAGCTTCAACTGGAGAGGTTTTAGCAAAGCCAGAACATTCTGAAGAAAAACTGAAACCTAGATTTCCTCCTTATTGCCAAAGTTTCAGTCACGAGGCTAACAGATGAGACATATGCACAACCTGACATAAAAATGTGAAGTCCTCCTTTACCTTCAAGAGAGGAGTCTGGTTTTAATTCCTCAAGTCCAGAGCAAATAAAGGGCCCTAGTGTGTAGCTTTGAGGAAGGTGTCTAAGGCACAGAGAGGGCAGGATCACAGCTACATTGTGAGCTCCACTTGTCAACTGGCTGGCTCCTACTTACATCCTGCTCTGCTTGCATGGGCACTCTCACTCCCTAATGCCATCTCCATGCTTCCTGTACAGGAAATGAAGGATTCTTCAGTGACACCCACCACTCTCATCTGTGCATTTAAAGACAGCACACACCCAGCAGATGAGAAGCTCTCGTTCTTCAAATTCATTCTTCAGCAATGGGGCTAAGCAGGGGATGCAGAGAAAGTGGTCTGAATGTTTGCTTCAGAGAAAGAATCTAGGCAAACATTTTTAACACTGGGATAGTGAGAAGTGGAGTGTTAATTATTAAGTATGTTATAGCTCCCTGCATTTTTCTTATGTTCTTCCTCTGAAACATTCAATGAGCAGCATAAATGTTTAATGAAGAAATTCTTATTATTTATGTTCATCTCAAGCCATAGTATATTATATCTCAAGGAGTCAGAGAAAATTGAAGCACTCCTTCAACAATCACCTATCTTCCAAAAGAGAGAAGGTCTCCTCTGTGTTCATATGACACGACATTTAATTTCATTTCGTGGTCATGGGAGTAGATGAGATTTAGAAAAATACATTCTCAGACTCATCACTTTACCCACCTTGTCTACCTATGTAGAAAAAGGTTGCCATTATTCTCATCAATGATCATTCAGCCTGTCCACATTTCCTGCTCTGGAAAAGCAAGGAATAAATACCAAAATAATAAATCATGCTGTTGTCTATG